GTGTGTGTGTGTGTGTGTGTGTGTGTGTGTGTGTGTACGTTTTTGCTGCATTGTGGGAACCATTTTCCAGAAAAAGGCAGCCTTGGGGGGACCAAATGTGCAACCGAACCCACCACCCAAAATTAGCATCTGTAGCCATGGGGCTTTGGTCCCCATGGGTAGAGATGCCAATTTTGAGTGTGGGGTTTGGTTTTGGACCAAGGTGTGAAATGAGTTTAGGTTAGTTTTAGGGTCAGGTAGGTAACTGTGAGGTTAATTTTAGGGTAAATGGTCAGGGTTAGGTTATAAAATTACCAGAAAATTGGAAATCAACCCACAGTCCCCACGGGGATAGAAAAATAAACCTGTGGCTCTGTGTGTGTTCTCAGTGCAGGAACAGCAGTGGGTTGTAAACCAGCTAAGAACATGAGCCAGGTGTCTGAAATTCTTGTTTTGCGAGAGTACGTTTTTTCAGAAATAGCTGATCTGTCAAACTGCAGCAAATACTGACAGCATACATGTAACCTGAACCCTTTAAAGTTTACAAATATACACACATCTCATTCTTCTACATTAAAAATGCTAAGTCAGAATGGGTCTGATTTGGGCCTTTTGAGTTAATTATAGCAGCCAAGAGGCTTTTTCTCTTTTTTTTTTTTTTTTTTTTTTTTTTTTTTTTGTCTGGGAATTGCAATGCTTTTAAACTGAAATACTGTTTATCATTGATTGTTACTGCAGCCATATTGATTGTGTAACTAACACCAAACACTGAAAAAAAAAACAACAACAACAGCACCACGTTCAAATAACCTAATCGTGAGTTAGTCATCTGAACTTTAACAGCGGATACATTTGTGTCTGTTCTGAACCCATTTTGGCACCTTTAGCTCAATTAGAGTAATGGCACTGTGTGATACACGAATGGTCTAAATGTTTTTTTTTTTTCTTAGAAAAATTTTGATTTTAGTAGATGGCAGATGTAGGCTGTCTGTGGTAGATTTGACTCACTGTGAATTCAACTAATTCAAATTGGCCTATAGCTGAAATCTAAAGATGAACTCATCCATCTCCTTTATGATCTTGTTTTTGTCAAATTTATAAGTAAAGATGACAAAAGGAAAAAAAATCATAAGCATACCAATTTCTTATGGGTGCGTGAAATGGATTCATTTTAAACTTCTGTTTAGAAATAAAATGGTGTTCCACAGTGCCTAAAATGTATTCTAAGAGAGAAAAATCACTCTAGTTTGTCTTTAAATGTAAAACTAAATCCAAGCCCTTCTTTGCACTTCAGGCAACACAAACCAGGCACCCACACAACAATCAATACATAGTATCTTTAACCCCAGCACATGTGAACCTCTCAGAGTGAATGTGCCTTCTTGCAGCTCAAAACACTAGAAGAAACGAATCAACAGGCAGCAGGAGGCCTAATTAGCTTGACATAGCTCTCACTGTGTTGGAGGCTTACCCTCAGTCAGGCCCATGTGGATGCTCCAGTAGTTCTGCAGGCACTGCAGCTCTTTCTTCATGCCTCTCTTGCAGCGGCAGTCGTACAACGGCGAGTCCTGAAGTACCTCCAGAGCCCCCTGACACTCCTTAGAAGCCAACATGGTACTGCGCTCTTTGTCCCCGCCAGATAGGCACTGGCGCATGATTCGGTAGCGTGAGCTGCATTGGCTGTTCTGGTTGCACAGCTCAGATGCCCGGAGACAGTCCAGAGGTTCCCTCCAGCCAGGGGGCCTCAGCTCTGACTCACACATACAGACATCTGCAGGACAAACAGGAAGAAAGGCGGCAGAGTGTCAAAGTAGGCACCAGTGCAGTCTGAGGAGCTACTGATCAGCTAACAAGCAATGACAACTTGAGTGTTCATTGACTCAGTCAATGTCAATGGCAGTTCATTTGTTGTTTTTCAAATGTAAACACTAGTTAACTGGTAAGTTAGTTGGGTGATCTCTGTATGGTCTTGGTGAGGTCCTCAGGTGCATGTAAAGAATTTAATGTACATATGATAGAGGATGATGGGCTGTGGAGGGTGTTACCCATGCACAAAATTTCAGGTCATGGTGGCTTAACATCATGGTGTCAACATAATATGACCTTGGATGTCCATTTTTGAGTATGGTGGCAGCCATAGTAATGTAAAATGGCCTGGACTTGTATAGCACTTTTTTAAGTCACTATGGACTTCAAAGTGCTTCACACTACAGTCATTCACCCATTCATACACACATTCACACACTGATGGTGGGAAGCTAAGTTAAACCGTCAGAACCTGGACCCATTTCTACTTTCATGTTAAAACCCAAAAAACCCATGGTAACACCAGTTTCATCATAGTCCTTATGAGTTAAAACATATTTGAACAATAAATAATAAATAATAAAAACTGGTAAAAAGGTTAAAACACAAAACCTATAGTATTTTACACAAAAAAATCTGTGGTTACTTAAAAAATATGACAAAGGAACAATATCTCAGCCTGCTGTGAGGTGATGATGATGGAGAACAGGTGCAATCACTGAGCAGAAGAAACAGCAACAACAGCAGTCTATAACACCACTTGAGAAAACTGTAAAAGGCCTGAATTTATATAGCGCTTTATCAAGTCCTAGTACATACAGCGGGTAAAATAAGTATTGAATACATCACCATTTTTCTCGGTAAATACAGTATATTACTAGAGGTGCTAATGACATGAAATTTTCACCAGATGTTGGTAACAACCCAAGTGATACATACATACAAAGAAATCAAATCATAAATGTCCAGAAATGAAGTTATTTGTAATAATGTGGAATGGCAAAGGGAAAAAGTATTGAACACATGAAGAAAGGGAGGTGTAAAAAGGCATGGAAAGCCAAGACACCAGCTGAACTCTCTCAGTAATTTGAAAGCAAGCCTGCCCCTTGTCAGTGCAAGTTAATATCAGCTGGTTCAGACCAGATGATGGCCAGGTATCACACAAGAACCATCTGATGATGGGTAAAAGTAAAGAGCTCTCTCAAGACCTTCACAACCTTATTGTTGCAAAGCATAATGATGGCATCGGTTACAGAAGAATGTCTAAACTTCTGAAGGTTCCAGTGAGCACTGTTGGGGCCATAATTCAGAAGTGGAAAGAACATTATTTCACCATAAACCGACCACGACCAGGTGCTCCTCRCAAGRTTTCTGACAGAGGAGTGAAAAKAATTATCAGAAGAGTTGTCCAAGAGCCAAGGACCACTTGTGGAGAGCTTCAGAAAGACCTGGAATTAGCAGGTACGTTTGTTTCAAAGAAAACAATAAGTAATGAACTGAACCACCATGGCYTKTATGCACGCTCACCACGCAAGACTCCACTGCTGAAGAAACATCATGTTGAAGCTCCTTTAAAGTTTGCTGCACAACATTTGACTACTGTAGGTAACTGTTTGGCCTTTATTGTGGAACTATATTGTCCCAGAATGGAACTTGGTATTTGGTATTTAAAATGCAGAAAATAAACATTTAAATCTTCTGAGTCAAAGGCCACAGGACACCCTATTTAAGAAATGAAAGGAAAAAATGAAATCTCGAAATACCTCAGCAGATAATGGGTGAGAGAGGATATCTTTTAGGCAATATTCAGAACATCGCCACTATCTTGCAATTTTTGCAATATGTCTTGTTTAAAAGTTATCAACACTAAAAGTAACAACAATAACTGGGAATTGTTTGTTATTTGATGGGTTCAATGTGCTGTCCCTGGTGCTGAACCATTTTTTGACTCGCCCTGTAGAACTTCAAATACAGAAAATTCTTGCTGGACTAGAGAGCCAAGTTAAGGATCTCATACAGTTTTCAAAATGTAATAATAAAAATAATGTGCATTTACTAAATTACACAGTATGGATTTTGTAGAATCAAGGTTATGAGGTTATGTAGCTAATGAGAAAACCAGGACCAACTATGATGAGTAATTGCACTGAGCAATGCTGATGAAAGGGTATAAAAAGGTTTGTCACGATAAACAGCCTTATTTTCAAATGGTATTTTTGCAAGCTTTCAACAAAGACAGATAACATCAACAGCTACTCTGTAACAAGAAACATGCCTGAACTGTCTCAATCACCACCCTCTAGTTTGTATTCTTTATTCGTCTCACTTCAAAGATTTTCTCTTCAGAATGAAGATGCCCACTGAAAAAGTAAAAGGACACAAATTTCATCCATCCATCAATTTTACTTATCAGCTTTTTCCTTTCCAGATAAAGGGTGCTGGTGCCCATCTTCAGCAGTCACTGTGAGACAAACAACCATTCACACATTCACTCCTAACTAGGGTCAATTTAGAGAGTTACCAATTAACCTAACACATGTTTTTGGTCTGTGGGAAGAAACCAGAGTGCCTGAAGAAAACATGCAAAATCTACCCAAAAAGATCTCATTAGGAACACAGTGTGCTCCCCATTAGTCATAGTAGAATAGGAAATTTCCATGATGGTTTTTAGAAAGCACAAATATTCTGTAGCAAGATCATAGTGGTTTATTATAATGACTGCATCATGCAGGGTTCTGACTTTGGTCATTAAGATTTCCAAGCAGGACTGAGCATACTGGCATAAAGATTAGGCTGCAATAGTGATTGCAACAAGGACATGGAAATTGATATAGTACACATAGCTGCAGTCTTGTTTGGGTGGCATATAGGACATGGTGAGGGTACAGGAGAATGTTTTGAACAAGCATAAAAGGAAAAACCTATTTGTCAAGTACTAAGTAGCCACACTGTAATAAGTCATGTGGGTCATAGAAGGCATAGCGTGTTTCTTACCCTGTGTGAAGGGAACCTCATCTACTTCAATCTGAAAGGTGAATACCACAATTTATGTGATGCAACAAACTTAGCATTCGTATTCATATCTGCTTTATGTACACTTTAAATACTCAATATAATTACAAAAGCAAAACTAAAACAATTACCCAGAAAACAAAACAAAACAAAAAAACATGGATAAACCTACATCAAAATACATTGTGAATTAACATTTTTCCATTCTGAGTTTCTGCAGGTCTGATGCTTTGAGGCTGCATCTAACACAGCAACCACAAACAAAGCCTGAGAATCAAAACCCAGAGCAAAAACAAAGCCAGATTTATCCCTGCATCCCACAGCATTTTTCTTAACACCACAAAATCTTCTACCTCTAAGCCTTACAAAACTGATTTTGTGCATTCATTCCACTGCAACTGGAAATACAAAAATCCTAGCAAGAATAAATGTGAAACAACAGGAGCATTTCTCCATCTCACTGTTTTTTCTTTGCACTTTAGGCAAAAACTAAAACGGCAACCACACTACAATCGATTGACCTCAGCAATTGTGAGTACCTTTCAGGAAAAAAAAAGAAAAAAAAACATTTTCTTGTTTCATCTGCAGGCAGCCCAAAACATCAGAAATCAACAGGCAGCAGGAGGCTTAATTAACTATGGAGAGAGCAGCTGAAACTAAATCTGCTAAATTCACCTTCAAGGCCATTGACAGTGGAAAAGATCCAATTATGCAAATTAAACTCGACTCATTAAATAATTGATCAACATATCAACTGTGCCTTCAACAGCATGTTGAGTTTTCACCCCAATGTCACTGACCCTGAGCCATACCTCCAGGAAAGGAGCAGAAATCTCAAAAATACAAGTTGTGAAACTCAAGTTTTCTTTTACGTAAGTCAAGCTATTATTACTAATCTTTTCGTTTTTGCAAAAGGCAGGACCATTACTTAACAAAATGTGTTTTGTTAACTACTCAAAGCAAGTTTTTGCTTTACTCATGGCTCTGAGCTGAGACAACTCACCTTTACATTTTTACTGGTTTTGGGAGGGGCTTGTCGGTGACCTGACCGTTGAGCCAGTAGGTGGCAGTAATGCACCTTTAAGTTATTTGCCAACACGAAGAAGAAGAAGAAAACTAGCAGAGCTAAATGCATGTTTCTTCTGATTGTGTTGGCTGCATGGTTACTGACTGCATTGTTTCTGTTGCATTACAATGATTCCAGGCCATGATTTTTGCTTGGTAGGATCTACTAAATACTGAGTTATCGTTTTTTTGTTTGTTTGTTTGTTTGTTTTTGCTGCCCAAATGTATGCACAGGCCTAATTTTGTTTAACCACTTATTGCACACTTTCTGTAACTCATATCAACTTAATTTCACTTCTCAAATATCACTGTGTTTATCCCCTATATGATATATTTAACTTGTTTTTTTATCCAAACAATCAATGATTTATAAAGGTAAATCAAGAAAATTAACAAGGCTGCCCAAACTTTTGCACCCCACTGTATGTCCTTTACATTGTGGGTTGGTACTGGGGTCATCCAGACTGTGAGCGAACACACAGGGAGGTGTGTAGTGAACTTGGAGGTTGGAGGTGTTAAACAAACCTGAATATGTTTTGGATTTTTGGACTGGGTAACTTTTTGCTTTTTATTACAGCTGTGCTCACTCTGGCCATTCTCTCAGTCATCTTCATGAGGTTCTGTAATTACCTGGAATGGTTTTCCAACTGTCTTGAAGTATTTCTAAAGAATGCCAAGAGTGTGCACAACTGTGATCAGAGCAAGGGGTACCCGCTTTGAGTGGTCTAGAATCTGGGGCATGTTTTAGTTTGTTTTGTGCTATTGCATTTGCTACATGGTTCCTTTCAATACATGTCCCTTCATTGCCTGGGTGACTTCTGTGTTAATTTGACATGTAGGACAAAGAGGAAGAGAACAGGGATGTTGAATGAGAGGCTGTTTGACCTG